TGCTCCTGGGAGCTTTTCCATCCCTGTGCTCTAAAGAATGTTCTGTTTCATTGCCAGCTGGTTTTACAACCATGCCTGTTGTGCTTCCTTTATGAATATTTCCCTTGCACAGCAGTGTAGGGCCACCATATGTAGGTCACTTCCTGATTTTCCATAGTTGAGGTGGAGAGGAACACAGGTACCTGGTGTAATTCTGTTGGCACTTCTACTATGCTAAGAGATGGGAGGGAATAAACTTACCTTTCAGACTAGCTTGGGTTCTTCTTTGTAGGATTCTCCTTTGTAGGGGGTCTACAAGAAGCCTGGAGAGCAGCTTTGGACAAGGGCCTGCAGGGACAGGCCAAGGGGAATGGCTTGAACCTGCCAGAGGGGAGATAGAGATGAGCTCTGAGGCAGAAGCTCTTCCCTGTGAGGGTGCTGAGGCGCTGGCACAGGATGCCCAGAGAAGCTGTGGCTGCCCCATCCCTGGCAGTGTTCAAGGCCAGGTTGGACACAGGGGCTTGGAGCAGGACACCTCTAGGTCTGCTTATTGTAAATGTGGGTCCATGAGCTATATATGCTCACTCGCTCACTGAACACACTCATTGCTTCCCAGCTCTGGTGCTGCCAGTCTGACAGCACCTGACAAATTGTGGGCTCTTCTAATAGATATTAACCCCCCCCAAACAAACAGAAAGGCCCCAGCAAGGTGTTGCCCCAAGCACATTGTCTGGAGGTCACATTGGTTTTGTTTTCCCCAGTCTTTGCTTTGCCAGGCTCTGAATTAAAATGTTAAAGGCCCTCAACCATAGCATTGTAGAGTTGATGCCATTACAGCAAATCTGACTTTTACTGGGTTTTTAATCTGCCTTTTGTAGTTGTTGCTGGGTGTTCTCAGACTCATAGGAAAAAGTAGGGAACATTTTTGGTGTGGTTCAGCCAAAAACTGTATCAAATGATGCTGCTTTTAAAGAAAACTATGCAGCCAAGGGAGAAGGTGTATATATTACAATTGCCTTTAATGGGGTTCGTGGTCCATTTTTCCTTTACGTGTTAATAAGCTCTTTATGTTTCTCTCTATTTTAGGTCTTGCCCAAGTTAACTCTTGAATCTAGTAAGAGATGAGTTTTCTGAGTATCTTTTAGACTGATTTGCATGCAGTTTGGTACCTTGTGAAAGAGAAGCTTTTTGTACAGCCTGTCTTGGTATGTGGGCAGGTTTATCTGTAGTAAAACCTTTGTTGTGTACTCCAGGGTATGTTTTTACTTGTGGTAGAGGTTCCAGAGTGATGACTTGCAGGCAGAAACTGCATCAAGAAAAATAAAAGCACATTTAATCGGTTTTGCATTGTACATCTCCATCTGTGATGGTTCTTACCTCTTTTTCTTGCAGTGAACTTTGAAATGCATTGGAACTTGTTTAAACAGAATAGGAGCTCCCTTGGTAAAAGAGAAAATGGGGTATTAGTAGTGAGGAAAAGGCAAAGTGTGAGAAGCACCATGTTGTCAAACCAGGCACTGCAGTGGCTTTGTGGCCTGTCCTGATGGTACCACATCTGGAGGGAGATTTGTGTGTGGATAAAGGCACAGAGCTTTCCCTGGCTACGAGGGCTTTCCTCTTGTGAACTTGCACCTGGACTATCCCCTGCTTGTCTCCATACTCATCTTATCTAAACTGTTGTAAACCTGTGTCAGCTTTTGGCCTTCCTGAGTTAATCATGTATGAGCAGCAAAGATAATTTGGTCTAGAAAGAGATGAATGTTAATCAATGTCTTGGTGGAAGTTTCACTTGTAGCCTTTTTGTTTGATCCAGGGTGACTGCTAATGCGTTGCGCTGGGTGCACTTAGCTGATGTTCTATGAGGTTTATCTCTTTTTATATGACTTTATAGCTTTTGATCAGTTGGATTAGTTAGGGAAGGCTATAAAACGTCAGAGTCACCTCACTTAGCTGTGCTCAGTTGGTGTGTAAGAGGTCTGATAAAGAAGAGTGATACCTTGATACCTTTCAGATAACCTGATCTGCTGCTGCCTGAAGATTTCTGGTTCAATTTGATTGCAGAATAAAAGTTTTCTGACAATCTCATTAGTATCTGTTCCATGAATGCAAGAAAAGTTTGAAAAGTTGTTCCCCTTGTTTTCCTTGACCCCCTTCCCCTGACACATGTACGTGTGGTGTTAGTGTGCAGGTACAGGTGTGGACACAAACACACCTTCCCTCTCTCTAGGAAAAGCAGGTTTTACCTGTGAATTTGGAGTTGCTTCTTCATCACCATCTGGGAACCCTCATCCAAACACTGTCACTGTAGCTGTTGTTTCAGCTCTCAAGAATTAATCCAAAGCACAGCTTACGTGTGTCCTCTCCTGCTGTAGTTCTCAAGACCAATTCCCAAGGAAGGATCCCATCATCTTTGAGTAGATAGTAGTCTTACTGTTGTGCAATGCGAAGTGAAATAGGATTATGTGGTCTTTTCTTTTGCATCAGTGGAGATGTTAGTTAATGCTAACTAAGAAGCTTATCGTGCTAGAAACCTTAAACCAGCTCTCCTGGTGGCAGGTTTCCTGCTGGTGTATCTCTCACTGTGGTTTTTTATTGGCATGGCTGCATTTGTTAGGGAGGTGTAATTCTGCCTTTTCCCTTTTCCTTTCCAATGTGAGATGATAAAGCTGCCAGACTAAACCACGCCTGTCTCCATCACTGATTGTCTTGGAGAATAAAACCTGTCTACATTGACAGAAAAAGGCAAATGCTTTTCTTGTCTGTTTTTTCATGTGTGCTTGAACAAAATCCTTCACCCTTTACAGTAAAAGCAAACAAAGCCCCTCCAAAAACCCCACCCCAGACATCCCTCCTGCCCCCAAACCTCAAACTGCTACCTGGCTCTTGCCTCTCTGACCTGCTCCTATCACTCGCAGGCCTGCATAGGCAGCCTGGAGAGGAATGTTCCCGTGAGGATTTCAAATGGAAGCAGACAAACTAATTTAATGTTGCTCTTCATGTCTGGAGCTTGGCACTTTTGATGAGAAGTCTGTGGTTACTGGAGAAATGGGGATGCCTTTTTCTTTCAGGATGGCGCGACGGTGAGCACTCAACCTGCTTCGCTCCTTCAGTCTTAAGTTTAAGTGAGATACAATTAATGATGCTCTCAATATTTAGGAAACAAGTCTTAATGAAGCCCTTATTTGAAGGCAGTACTTTGCATTCCGTTTGGATTCAGTTAGCAGTGCTCAAGGGTATCTCAGTGCCCAAGTGCTGTTTCTTAGGTACGTCTGTTTTCTCTCTTGAAAAGTTAAATTGCTTTGAAAGATTAATCTGTTTTCCACCTCAGGGATACAGAATTTCCTAGCAAATGGGCACCTAACAGCTATTAAGAGGTTCTAAAATACTGGTAATTTTTCACCCAGTCCCCTGGCTGAAGGGTCTTTGTCCAGTTTCATTTTTACTGCAATTCCAGTTGGCATCCAAACTGCTGGCATGTTCCTGAGCAGCATTTTGGAAGGAAAGCTTAAGAAAAAACCCAAACTCCACTTTCTGGGTTTCTGATACCTACGTAACTGTGTTTTTTGAGTGTCTCTTAGAGGCATTGCCACCTCTAGCAATTATAGAATCACAGAATGGTTTGGGGTTGGAAAGGACCTGAAGATCATGGAGTTCTGCCATGGGCAGAGACACCTTCCACTGGAGCAGGTTGCTCCAAGCCCCTGTGTCCAACCTGGCCTTGAACACTGCCAGGGATGGGGCAGCCCCAGCTTCTCTGGGCCCCCTGTGCCAGCGCCTCACCACCCTCACAGGGAAGAGTTTCTGCCTCAGAGCTCATCTCAGTCTCCCCTCTGGCAGGTTCAAGCCATTCCCCTTGGCCTGTCCCTACAATCCCTGATGAAGAGTTTAAAATATCATTTAGTTTAAAATATCATTAACTCATTTGTGGAGCAGCACCAGTGTGTGATGGGTTTTGCTGCTTGAATGTGATCCTGGCATTGCAGAGTTTCACTTGATACGAGTTAGAAAAGGCCATTTTTGGGGCTCTGTCCTGCACTTTCCTCTCCACCTGAACTTGTTTCACCCACAGCCGTTCGCACCGCGCTTTCTGCTTTGAAGCTCAGGAACCACAGGCTGCAAACTGGGTTTTCTGCACTTTTCTATGCTGTCCTGTGGGAAATTTAGGTTCAAATCCCTTAATTCATGCTCCGTAGTCTTGGAAATAGCAACAGTGTGGGTGAGCATGGGATGGCAGGTCCAAGTTAAGGGGGAGACGTGGGAACTATGCTATAGTGGCCCACTTGGGGAAAAGAAAAGAACCAGTAAACTATATGATCTTTTCTGTTCCTGTGCCAAAATAGTAGTGCTACTAATTACATAGTACTAAATACAAGGTTTTATGCTGAAGCAGTTGCTTCAACATCATCAGGCAGATGACTTTGAACATCCCTCATGCAACTGAGCTAAGTTCAGGTGAGGGTGTTCAGCAGAAAGGGCTGTTTCTGTCTGAAATACTCGCTGCACTCAGCTGTGCTTCACTGTCCCTTTAGTCTAAGCTTCGTGGAAGCTTTTTACTTCAAAAGGAGTTGTTTTAAAAGGAAGGGTTTAGTTTCACAGAGGTGAACTTTTGAGTAAGTCTACACATTTACACTCTTTGACAGCACAAGTAATGTTTACAGTGGATGTTCAATACCAAACTGTTCTGTTGCTGCATAGCTGGGGTACAGGAGTACTTTGTTCCCAAAACTGCTGTGGAAATGACTATGAAATTAAAACAAGATCAAGGTTTCACTGTAATTGAAGACCACAAGAGAAGACTGAGAGAATAATCGGCACATTCCCATCCTGAAAGAACTTTAAAATATCATCAGCTTTATCTTTAAATGCTGATCTGTTAATTATCAAATCAAAAAGGAATGATAAGAGTTGGTGAGTCATGAGCATGAAAGGGAGCCAGGGCTGCAGGCCGTGAGCCTTGGTACATATATCTTGGGTAATGAAGGAAAAATGAATTTCTCTCTTCAATTCTAGGTGCCATCAATGCTAATGATACTTAAAAAAGCAACCCCAATGCCCCAGCTGGATTACTGAGCACTTCGGAGATACCTGGAGGTGCTGCTGTGGAGATAAGGAATTGTCCTTAGTACTTGGCCTCTCATCCCAGAAGCATCCCCTTGGGGACTGTATGCAAGTCCTTGACATTCTGGAAACAATGGGGATTGGTAAGAATACCACTTCAAAATCAGTGGAGGCAGGAGGCTCAACAGAAGGCAAATATGAGGATGAAACTAAACATCCCACCTTTTTCACCCTGCCTGTAAGTAATAATGCTTTGTTCTAATTGTGTTGTGCAAAGTGTTTATTTCCACAAGTAGTTGCTGAAACCTCCTTTGCCCCTTGTTGCTGCTTATATGTAAACATGGCCAATTATGGTGTCTATGGTTATTTCATGTGTGTGCTGCAAAGCAGTGCTGGTCACAGGACGTGCAACACCCCAGGCAGCTCCTGATGAGAACAGTTAGAATTGTGGCATGGTTTGCTTTGGAAGGGGCTTTAAGGCTCCTCCAGCTCCAACCCCTGCCCCAGGCAGGGACACCTTCCAGTAGGGCAGGTTGCTCCAAGCCCCTGTGTCCAACCTGGCCTTGAACATCCCTTGTCCCAAGCCCCTCTCCAGGTTTCCTGTAGTCCCTTTAGGCACTGGAGCTGCTCTAAGGTCTCCCCTTAAGGAGCCTTCTCTTCTTCAGGCTGAACCAGCTCACTCCAGCAGCTCCACGTCCCTCTCGTGCTGTTGCCCCAGGGCTGGATCAGGACTACAGGGGGGATCTCCCCAGAACACAGCAGAGGGGCATGATCCCCTCCCTGAGCTGCTGCTCATGCTCTGGGGGTGCACCCAGCACATGGGGGGGTTCTGGGCTCAAGCACACACTGAAGCTGGGTCATGGGGAGCTTCTCCTCACGCAACACCTCCAAATACTTCTCAGGTTTCTCCATCCAGTCTCCCCCAGCCTGTGTTTGTGCTGGGGATTGCCCTGGCTCAGGGGTAGGACCTTGCACTTGGTCTTGTTGAACTTCATAAGGTTTCCATGGTCCCACCTCTTCAGCCTGTCCAGGTCCTTCTAGATCTCATCCCTTCCCTCCAGTGTGTCACCCAAACCACACAGCTCAGTGCCATTGGCAGACTTGCTGAGGGTGCTTGATCCCATGTCCATGTCACTTACAAAGATATTAAATAGTTTCAGTCCCAACACCAGCCCCTGAGGAACACCACTTATCACTGATCTTCACTTTGACCTCGAGCCATTGACTGCAGCTCTTTGAGTGTGACCATCCAGCCAATTCCTTATCTACCAAGTGGTCCATCCATCAAAGCCATGTCTCTCCAGTTTAGAGACAAGGATATTGTGCAGGCCAGTGTCGTCAAATGCCTTGCACAAGTCCAGGTAGATGGCATCTGTTGCTCTTCCCTCATCCACCAATGCTGTAGCCCTGTCCTACTGTTCCCTGTCCTACTGCAGAATGCACCAGCCCCTGGTTATGTCCTGATTTGTTTGACTAAGAGGAGCAGGCAACAAGGAAACATTTGTTGTCTTTTACTTACACAGATTTCCTGTTCTATCATTCTGTTGTACACATCTGCCTCTTAAGAACTCTTCCCATCAGTCTCCTGATGGTTTCTTCCCACCCTCAGTGGACACTGTCCTGGAGGAGCTCTATGTCATGGCTTTCCATAACAGCATGTCTAGGAATATAAAAGATTTCTTGCCATGCTTGTAATGTTTTGTGACAAAATGTCCAAGATATCAAGTACCAGGGGGGAAACCAGAGTGACCTGAGGTGGGATCCCAGACAAAATCTTCATTTGAAGACCTTGTGTTTCTTTTTGTGTGGTGGTTTTATTTTTAAGGTGGTGATAAATGGTGGAGCAACATCCAGTGGTGACCAGGATACAGAAGACACGGAGCTGATGGCCATCTATACTACAGAAAATGGCATAGCAGAAAAGGTACGTAGTGCTTTCCTCCTAGGTGACAACTCATTCTTGCTTCCTCAGTTCTCTTATTTGTCCACACTGGTTTTAGTGGGCTGAGAGATCTTCTTTCTCCCATCAGACATGCTGACAGGTCAGGCTTTGGGGGAGTTGTGTCCTTGTGACTCTTCTGGTCACACGTTTGGTTGCAGAACACAGGGAATGACTCAGCAGATGTTAGAAGCACTTTGACCTGGCACCAAAATTTGTAATGGGCAGTTTTTTGATTTCTTCATTTCCCTTGGCCTTTTGCATCGTTGCCATGGTAAGGTCCTTCTGTGCTGTTCTTCAGGCCTTAAGTACTTCTGCATTAGTCAAGTAAACTGGTGCTGTTGAGCACCTTCAAACAGCAGGAGCTTTCCCATTCTCTTTCCTCCAAGCTCCAATCTCAGAAACTTAATTTTTTCTAGTCCTTTTTCCAAGCAGGGGGCTGCTTATTGTTACTGAGTGACAGCTTAATGAATGCGTTTCAGGTCGTTCATAAAACGCCTTGAACGTTTTTCCTTAGGATATCGATGATTGTATCTTAGATCATTCACAATCAACAACCCAGCTGAGGCCTCAAAGGGACCTGGGAGGGTTTAGTGTGGAGAAGAGAAGGCTCAGGGGGGACCTTATCGCTCTCTGCAACTGCCTGACAGGAGGATGGAGCCAGGAGGGGGCTGGTCTCTGCTCCCAAGGAACAAGGGATGGGACAAGAGGAACCGGCCTCAAGCTGCCCCAGGGCAGGTTTAGCTGGAGCTGAGGAACAATTCCTTGCCCAGAGGGTGCTCAGGCATTGGAACAGGCTGCCCAGGTCAGGGCTGGAGTCACCGTCCCTGCAAGTGTTCACAGCCCGTGTAGCCGAGGCCTCAGTGCCAGGGGTTAGTGGTGGCCTTGGCAGTGCTGGGAATGGTTGGACTTGATGAGCTTAAAGCTCTTTTCCAACCAAGTTGATTCTATGATTCAATGCGGTTGTGATTTTTCCAGGCTTTTTCTCAATTCCATCATTCCTCAAGCCTGTTCAGTAACATTCTTGCAAGTAGAGATGGTGTGAATCTGAGCTGCTCTTTAGAATAAGAGGATTACAGTAAATCTGAGCAGCACCTTTTTCTATCTACTTGGCTTTGTGGTTAAGCCTTATCTCCAAAAGGCCTCAACTTGACCAAATTATATTTCCAAAGAATGTTAGGAATGCCATAATGTGCCTTCATGCACTGCTAGGGATAGTCTGCCTGTACGTCTCAAGTACTCCCTGCTACCACCTTGATCATGCTGATAGATTCATGGGCACATTTTGGCAACTGCTGCCCTGCAATGTCTGTGGTGGCTGATCCTTGGAGCACGCTCAGACTAGTGTGGAGAGAAGCGATCTGATAAAAGCCTTGAGCAAAAGGTGCTGGGATGAAGTTGTGCAACCAAGATAAGCGATCTGTAGACGTTAAAGCACGTCTTCATGGCCTGTTTTTACCGTATTTCTCTCCCTTCCACTTGATCCATGTGATCAGAACTGTAAATGACTGTTGATAATTCACCTTAAAGAGACCACGAGCTTTTAATCAACCCAATCTGCTTGAGTTAAAGCTTTGCTGTGGTTTACAGTGAATGGGCAGTGAAAGGAGGGGCTGCAGCAATTAAAGCCTCATGTATTCAGATAGTATTTCTGGTAATCTGGGCAAACCTCCTGCTTTTCACTTCAAATAAGTGTGTATATGAAGCATCTTCGTGGCTTTCCAGTCCTCTTGAGAGATTGTTCACCAAAAAAGGCAAATAAAAGACATTCATTAAAAAGCCTTTAACAAAGAGGACTGAAATGTATTTAATTGCTGGAGGATGCCCAGTGCTTACATTGACTCATAATATTTGCGAGCTGAAACAATAAACTATTAGGCTAGATGAGAAATAACTGTACTGTTGTATCCCTGTAAAATAGACAATACTGTGTTCCTTGATGCTTAATACAACTAATTTGAACATGTTGTCAGCTCTTTAGATAAGGTATATCTCTAAAGGCCTTGTTCCCCCCACGGTTTTGCTCCACCTTTATCTCTGTGTCATTTCTCCCACCCTTGTTTGTACTCTGTGCTTTTTACTCATTTTTGTGTTGTTCCACCTTTAGCCAGTTAAAAACAATTAGTCTCTGATTGGTATCTCCTTCACGAAGGTGCAGTTTGTTCCCAGCAGTTCTGTATGGCATAATTGGCAAGTACCAGCAGTACATTAAACCAGCAGGCACATGCTTGAGATATGAGAGGGCCAGTGACTACCCGGTGACTTACCCACAGCAGTCAGAGCCAGACCTTACCTGAGCTGTCCAATCTCTCACTCTTCAGTTTTGGTCTCTTTTATGTTAATTCCCTTTTAGCCATTATCTGCATTCAAGGCCAGGTTGGATGGGGCTTGGAGCAACCTCCTCTAGTGGAAGGTGGCCCTGCGTGTGGCATCCAGTTGGAATCGGATGAGCTTTAAGGACCCTTCCAACCCAAACCAGTCTATGATGTCAATGTAATTATGCGTAGACCTAAGGCAAGGCACAAGGACGGGTAAAAGACTCACAGCCAGTGTCACTATGGACAAACATCAGGATATTTATCATCACTAGAGGCACCTGTGATACTTTCTGTTGTAATAAAGCAGTTTTGTTAACCCAGCCCTCACAGCAGCTCCGGGGCCTCCTCTGGCCTCGCTCCAGCAGCTCCACATCCCTCTTGTGCTGTTCCCCAGAGCTGGATCAGGGCTGCAGGGGGGGCTCCCCAGAGCACAGCAGAGGGGCAGGATCCCCTCCCTGAGCTGCTGCTCACGCTCTGGGGGTGCACCCAGCACACGGGGGGGTTCTGGGCTCAAGCACACACTGAAGCCGGGTCATGGGGAGCTTCTCCTCACCCAGCACCTCCAAATCCTTCTCGTCAGGCTGCTTCCATCCAGCCTCTGACCAGCCTGGCTTTGTGCTTGGGACACATGAGGATATAAAGTTGTTTTCCCAAGTTCCAGTTAGAGGTAAGATGCAGGCAGGTTTTACTGCTGCTCAGTGCTCGCCCTCCAGTGTGAGGTGAAGCTCTACTACTCAACTTCTTAATTCTTTTCCTTTGTGTTTTTAGAGAGTCAGGTCAGGAGGGTGTCATTCCTTCATTGACTGGGTGAGGACAGACATCAGTGCTGCAAGTTGGCCAGATGAGTTGTGCAGTGAACCATTTCCTTATTCCTCTATTTAGGACTTGTACCTTATTTAAACTCACCCTGGTGAGCACATTGCTCCGTGCTTGGTGTTGGTTGAAAGAGCTTTCTGATACCAGCATTGCTGTATTTTGCTGTATTCCACTGTAATACCCTTGACCTTTCCCTAGTGATGTGGTCACTTACACTCCCTGAATTGGAATGAACCCAGTGGCATTTGTTTTACTAACAGAAACCCGGGGTAAGAGGGAAATACCCTGGCTCAGTTTGGCTTCCCTGACTTTGTAGATGATAAACCAAAGGGAGATTATCCAAGCACAATCTGTGGATGTGTTGTGATTTTTGAAGGAGGAAGGACCTTCTGAGGCAAAGTCACGAGTCTGGCAAAGTTCCCTGTCTTTGTGTAAGGCTGCTTCACAGGAGGTTTTTATGTTCTAGTGGGGATGAGGTCAAAACAGTAGTTATATAAGGTATTTTGGGGTTAGTTAAGCTGAAATGATAAAATCTGATGCTTCCTCCTGCTTTTGGTGGTGGTGTTGGAGCTTTGGAGCATTGTGGTTTTGTTCTCAGGAACTTCCAAACCAGAGAGTTGGAACGAAACGATTCCACTTAGTTGTGAAGGAGAAACGACTGAGCTCAATCTGGGTTTAATGGAGAAGCTGCAGGGATTCTGCTGTGTGTATATGTGTGGTCAGTTGTCTCTTAGCTCCCTGCAAACAAGGGCACATGCTAGGCTGGAATGTGGTCTCTTAAATTCCTGTAGGTTTGGAGGAAGTCCTCTTGACTAATAAGAATTGGCCATGGAGGTATTTAGTTATAATGAGCAGTGTTTTCTTCACTGCTTCAATGTGGGGTGGAAGCAAAAATAATAAATCCTGTGGCTCAAAAAGGTTAACCAAGGCTGGAATTGAGTAAGAATTAAGTGGGGAAGTAATTACTGTAATGAGGAACTGTCTTGCCTCTGGTTTTGGTCTCTTATGCAAGGATAGCCATTCTGCTCTGAAAGTTGCTGTTGTTGACTCTTATGCTTAGTTCTGATCCTTCCTTTTTGACTTTAATAAACAGTTCTGTCATGACAGTCCCATTTTTGGGGCACCTTTTAGCTGCCAGACTGGATCTGTCATAAATGAGTGTTAGTGTAAATCAGCAGCTTGGAGAAGTGAATGTGTTTGGTAGAAGTTCAGTAGCTACAGTTGAAGATGAGATGAAATCATAGGTAAAAGGCTTGAAAAACATCACGTATCATCATTGCTTGGGATGATTATACCAGGCTTAGAGTATCTGGGAATTGCCTGACAGTTCCCATTCAGTTTATTCATATGTAACACTAATCTACTTCTTTACCCTCCCTGTCAAACAGAGCTCTTTGGCAGAGACACTGGACAGCAGCGGCAGTTTAGATGCCCAGAGAACTGACATGATTTACACCATCGAAGACGTCCCTCCCTGGTATCTCTGCATATTTTTGGGATTACAGGTATGTTCTACAACAGCTGTAATTTTCCCTCTGTCACTTTCAGAGCTCGTTCAGTATTTTCTGTGTAGTTCATTGCATTTGTGTATGTGATCATTCTTCCCACATTCTCACTTGTCTGAAGTGTTAAGATAGTGAGTGATCACCTTCAGCAGAAACTAAGGTTACTGTGTTGATACTGTTCTATATTGCTGCTTCCTGCTTATGCATTTGTGAGATTCACTTAAATATTTCATCTTCTAAGCTGCTGTTAGTAAATAAGGGAGCAAATGCAAGGTGGTGAGCTTCAGAAAGTGGCATTTGGTACCTCTGGAACTAAAGATGGAGAGAGAGAATGGCTTAGTCCTGAGATCTTGACTATTAAAGCTGCTGCTGTAGTCGAATTCTGCAAGCTTTGGTAGCATCACCCTGGACCTGTAGGTTCACTCTTAGACAGGGCAGGCAAATTCTGCACTCCTTGGAGTGGGAGCATAGCATTCCGGCGAGGAGTAGGGCTGTGGTGGTGAGCTGGACCCTACTACCAGCTCAGCCACACACTTGTTTGAAGCAGAACAGCTCTTTCATCTCCTTTCTTTCTTGAATAGGAACAATATCTGTCCCAGAGGAATGCTGAGAATTTGTTAGTATCTGTAAAGTATGTTGAGATCTCCAAACAAATACATTCCAAAACATCCTTTTTATTTCTGCCATTCCTCAAGGACAGGCAGTTCTGTAGGGATTATATTTTTACCTGTGTTGAATGTGGTAACTCTTGGGTTTTGTTTGCTTAATGTTATTTGAATTGAAGAAGTACTAATGACTACTTAGTTTCTGGTGCTTGGGAGCTTATTTGCATCCTAGTTTGTGTGTGCTCTTAAGTTCATTTGTAAGCTGATGTTTTTTTCACATGGCTGAAAGTGAATGGAGTTATTTATCTGCTTTTCTGAGTCAGCAGCTGTTTTCAGGACAGTTACCTAGATACCTCCTCCTCAAGAGCAGTAGCCATGTAGCTATTCAAACAACCTCGTTCATCCTACAGCAGTAGCCTTGTTAGCAACAGGCTAGTGGTAGCTCAGCATGGAAGGAAAATATTTGAAGAAATGCTTTAGGAGCAGGAAGTGAGAGCTTTGGTGGGTCACTCAAGAGCAGAAATAGCCAATGCAAAAGAACAGATGGTCCTAAGTGTATTTACTTCTTAATACTCTGTAGCCAAGGCCCTCAGTGCCATGGGTTAGTGGTGGCCTTGGTGGTGCTGGAATAATGGTTGGACTTGATGAGCTTAAAGGTCTTTTTCAACCTGATTGATTCTAGGATTTGCTGCAGTATTAACAAACCCTTCTTCTCTTCACAGCATTACTTGACATGCTTCAGTGGAACTATAGCAGTGCCCTTTCTGCTAGCTGATGCCATGTGTGTTGGATTTGACCAGTGGGCTACCAGCCAGTTAATTGGGACCATTTTCTTCTGCGTGGGCATCACTACATTGCTACAAACAACTTTTGGGTGCAGGTGAGGCTCAGGACTTGTGTCTAGGTGTTGAGATGGTGGTAAGACTAGATACCTGCTGGGAATTCCAGGATGCAATCCAGGATCCAAGAGGGAGGTAATCTATTTTCAATCATGAAACCCAAGATAACAGGTCAAATACAGGGCAGTTAAGGCAAGTTTTTGGAAAGCTGCTCCCAAAAAAAGGTGGATCTGAAATCAGAGAAGGCATTCGAAGGGTAAGAAAATAGAGCAAGGGGAGGAAAGGATTAGAGGAGGGAAATTGATGAGGACAGAGAAAGTAGAAGTGTTTCTGGGGGAAAGGAAAAACTCATTTACCCTCGTAAAGAGAAACTAAGTTTGATATTTGTACTGCTTTCTTGAATGATACTGTAATCTTGCCAATATCTAGATTGTTGTGATTAGTGCTACAGCAATTTGTGTGCTTGCTTCTGTAAAGGGCTTGTCAAATGAAAAAGGTAATGAAAACTGATGAGGGGAGCTTTTAGTCTCTGAACTGAGTGTCTGTTACCTTCCAACACAAACAACTCGTTTGTATTTGCTAGTTGCTCTGACATGCAGGTAATGATCCTTCAATTGGGAACACGCACACATGGAAGCGTAGCCTTCCAGGGATGCCTGTGCCTCTCCTTGTGTCTGCTCTCCTTAGGAAGATGCAAGAGACCAATTCAGGTGTTAGCAGATACTTGTAAGAAGCTGGTGTGGGAAGGAGCAGGATGTTTGATTAACATGAAGATAAATGTTTCTTCAAAAACTCCTTTTCTACAATGAACACTGAGAGGTGTTTGACATATTTACTTAAACTGTTGTTGACACTGCCCTCGAGAACCGAGAATAGCTAAAACCTTGGAGTTATTTCTGCATCTTCTTGAATAAAACAAGGGTGATAACTAAAACCAGAAGAAAAGGGCATGTTTTAAGGGTATGCCCTCATATAGTTGCTTGAATGATTCATGGGTCATTTAGTTCAACAACGTGAGCTGAAATCTTGAGTTCCAATAGAAAATGGACCCGGGCCTGTAGGGACAGGACAAGGGGAATGGCTTGAACCTGCCAGAGGGGAGATAGGGATGAGCTCTGAGGCAGAAGCTCTTCCCTGTGAGGGTGCTGAGGCGCTGGCACAGGGTGCCCAGAGAAGCTGTGGCTGCCCCATCCCTGGCAGTGTTCAAGGCCAGGTTGGACACAGGGGCTTGGAGCAACCTGCTCTAGTGGAAGGTGTCCCTGCCTGTGGCAGGGGTTGGAGCTGGATGAGCTTTAAGGTCCCTTCCAACATAAACCACTCAGGGATTCTATGACAACACCCCCCTTCCCCTGCTATTTTTAAAGATTTAGCTAAGAAACAGAATCCTTGGGTGGAAAAGCCTCCATAGGCTGCAGACAGCCAAGCCCATGGTAGATCATTTCAAATTGTAGATCAGCTTTTCCACCTAAGATTTTTCCATGTGTTTTAGGTTTTCCAATTCAATCTTCAGTTGCTCTTTTAGTTCACTTTACTTAGCTTTTCTGTCCTTTTTTCCTTTGAAAAACCCCTTCCCTTTATTATTTTTTTTTTATTTCTTATGCGAGTTATAAAATCACTGCTGTTTTGTATGAGAAGTTTATTCTGATGACAAAACAGCAGCATGAAAATAGTTGAAAGAGAAGATTTTCCCTCCCCAGTATCTTTTTAGTCAAGACTACCTGCAGTTAACCATATTTTCTGCCTGCTTGGCTCTCTGTGCTCATAGGGCAATTTGCCTTAGTTATAACAGTAAATGTTCAAGTACCTCATCTGAAAGGAGGCAGAAGAGCACAGTCGTGCCCTTTGGTGGTTTGAACCTCTCTTTTAATGGAGTGATGTATTCTTTTTCCCCATCTCTTTGTGCTGTAGGTAGGGAATCAAGGGCTTGTTGACCTGGGCAGGAATTGGAAGATAAGGACTTTAATTGTTCAGCTCTGAGCATCTCCTCCCTGGATTTACTGAAGGTTAAACTCTTGCAGTTTAAAAGTGCAGAGCTGTGGGTGGAGATGAACTCAAAGGTGCTTTTTTTGCCTGGACTTCTACCAGTTTTCTTCTTCTGCCTCAAATTTAGCAGAAAAAGCTTAGTTTTTATGCTTCCTGAGACTTATTTCTTCACAGAACTGAAGTTTGTCACATTTTGGTTGTTTTACCCCTCCTCTAACTAATCTTGGACTCTATTACTTACTACAGAGTAATCTGGGGCTCTTTGCAGAAACCAGTGTGTTCCCATCAGTTTGAAATCCTCTGTTCCTTCTCTATAATCCCACCTCTGCAGTCCGTGATGTGGTGGTTTTGTTGCCTTGGGGGTTTTATTCAGTCACTTCCACTTCAGCTACTGAAGAGGCAGTTGGGTTTGGGTCTTAAAATAAGTGAACGTGTATTTAAGGAGTAAATTTCCATGGTTTTATAACTCTTTCACATGTGATTCTGGTTTTATGTAAGGGCAGGAATGGGATCTAGCAGCGATGTTGTCTAAATGAGGTTTTAAAGTATTTATTGGCAAGTCTGTCAACTGCAAAGTACTTCAGCAAATAAAACCACTATGGTTTCAAAAGGTCAAATTCCATCATTTAAAGGTCCTTAAAGATGGATTTAGCTCAGTGCGAGGTGGAGTTGGTTTGGTACCCATACTAATTTTAGGAATTCAAGCTATTTATTAGATGATGTAAGAAGCCAAAAGATCTGGCAAGGATTCAGAGTCATTACTATGACTGAGACAATCACATACGGCTTTAATATACCTCAAATACATCCTGAATATACCTAAACGTTTCAGGTTTGTTGCTGTGCCCAGCATGACATTGTCCTGAGCATTCCTACATCTGTGTGAGATGTTCAGATAATGAAGACATTTCCAGATGGCTTTAACTGCATTAAAAGCTCTGTCTTCACAAGGGCTGGTGCCAAAACTGAGCAGCTTCACAATTTATAGACATGAAATTAAAGTGATATCCCAGTCATAAGCTTGGTGGTCCTTTACCCAGCTAGCAATGAATGCCTGGCTTAGCAATGGGAAGTGGGATTCCTAAGTCATGTTCCAAGCTGCAGCTGCCTCTTCAGAAAGAGCTTCATCTTGCTTGCCTCATTTTAGTAATAAGTTTAAAGAAGGTTGGAGGGGACCTTAAAGCTCCTCCAGCTCCAGCCCCCTGCCACAGGCAGGGACACCTTCCACTAGAGCAGGTTGCTCCAAGCCCCTGTGTCCAGCCTGGCCTTGAACACTGCCAGGGATGGGGCAGCCACAGCTTCTCTGTGCCAAGAGTCCCACCACCCTCATACAAAGGTTCATTCAGTGAGTAGCTAAGGCAGAGCTGCCAAGATCTTATGATTCAATATGTGTGCAGGGTATTTCATGTGTTACAAACCTCACAATCTGGACCCAGGTCTCAGTACAAGTGACTTCATCACTGGAGAATGTGTTTGCAATGTATATTTACAAAATCATTGGCGGGGGGGGGAACAGAGGACTGTGTAGGTGGTCAGAGGAGTAACAGCTTGTTGCAGGTGTTGCATATTTTGCCATGGGCACCAGCTTGCTGGCTTTGCTCAATGAACCTTGAAAAATAAGGTGAATCATTCACTTGTAGCTACCAACCGGTTCCTCACTAAAGAGAAAGCTTTATTTTCCTCTTTAATTTTATGAAGTTTGACTTTCTAATGCAGTTTTCAACAATTGTGGTAGGTGGGACAGCTTTTCACAGTGCTCAAACTCCTTTCCAGTGGTAGCTCGACTGTTGTAACTTCGTGCCAGTGAACTTTACAACTACTGTTAGTAACGTGCATCTGGTTTCATCTTCTTTGTGTTAAGCTTGTATAGGATATTTTTTTTTCCCTTTTCTGATCTTTATCTTAATCTGCTACAGTTAATTCTTTCTCCTTTACTAGCGTTTGCACTGGCGTTGAGGCACTTCATTGGGGCTGTAAACCAGCCATAAACACGGAGCAGTAACTGGAGTCTCAGGAGCAATTAAGTGTTTCATGTGTTAAGAGTTTGAGATCTGCTACTAAAGAGAATCTTATTACAACCCATTAATGACGACAGTATTTATAGAGTAGTTCAAAGTGCATCTTCTCTGGAGTTAAGTCACAGCAGGATGTTTGTGATGTTATGCAAGCTATGGCTGATTCAGTGAATACGTAGTTGGTGCTGGTAGATGCTCTTTAGATCTTAAACCTTTTGGGAAGTGTAAACACCAATGCTAAGAATGTCCTCTTGAAATTCTTGCAGCATTTGTGTTTATTGTTGGTAGCCACCTGGAACATCTAATCAGCTCTTATCATCCTAATACTTATTTACACGTCCACTTACACGTACACTTAAAGATGAATGTGTAAGTGACTGTACTCCAAGTCATGCAGAGGGAAGGTACTGAGTATGCAGACTGCATGCTGTCCTATTAAAGAGCTTTTCTGATGTGGCAGGGTGGTAAAAGCTGCATGTTCAGCACTGGGGCTAGTACGTACATCAGGCTATGCATCTGTATCCTTGTGCTGCTGAGTCAAACCCAGTCAGGGTCTGGCACCTACGTGCTGGTAATAAGCTGTTATAAGAGTTGTATTAACTTCATGCGTGTAGCATCTTCTGTCAGGTCTTGGGTTTGTGAAGTCCTAGTATCTCATTTCTATGGTTGTTCTTTTTAATAAGAAACTCATATATCACATTTTTAATAACCCCCAAGAAAGGATGGTTTTGAGGATGAGTAACCCCCCAGTTGCAATTGATATCCTGACATAGGACGGTAACACCAAGAAATGTCAGTGTCTCTTCTTTCCCTTTCCACCAGGTTACCCTTGTTTCAAGCGAGTGCTTTTGCATTCTTAGCACCTGCTAGAGCAATACTCTCCCTGGAGAAGTGGAAGTGTAATAACACAGGTAATTGTCGTTTATGCTTGTTCAGGTTTAAGTGACAAATGACCCAGATCACATATAGTGGGACTGCCAAACCTTCTGATACAGAGACTGGAAGTAATGAGCCTGGAAAGTGAAAAATTCTCTCCTTTAACAATGTTAAAACTTTATGCTGTGGAGTAAGATTCCTACAAATGCCCTTGGGTGGATGGGGGGAGGGTAGTACAAAAGTGCTGACAAGAGAAAATCTAGCAATAGTATGAAACAGTTCTTTTGTTAACAATGTAGAGAAAGAAAGAAGGATTCTGTAAATGTTCCTTTATGGCATTAGGAAATAGTGAGTCCAGTCAAGTGCTTTAAAATTGAGTAGTAGGAAGTTTCAGTATTGCCTTGAGACCACTATTTGAACCTGTTTAACCCATTTAACCTTTAGGTTTTGTAGGGCAAGATTTGACAATATTTGGGTGTTCATTTTAACTTTTCCTCTGCTAACGTCATCACCCTGAAAGGTTTTCAGTGTATTTAGAGTGCAGATGTGCAGTAGAACTGATTGGGAAGGGGCTTTTGCTTTAACTTGGGTCAGAAAACTGAAGTGGAAATAGCTCTGCCACTTTAATGGGGAATGGTTATTCAGTAGTAAGGCTGTGGGCAGTGTGAGACAGGAGTATAGAGAAGGCTGCTTGCTTCTAACTAAAGTTCTTCCTAGGGGTCCTTTAGGTGCTCTAATCATTTATATTTATGTTATTTACATGTTTATACATCTCTTAATTCACTTTTGTCCATCTAATTAGGTTTCCTGCTATTTTTTCCTACTGAAAACTTAGCTTTGGCCATTCACAGTTTCTCACTTGGGAGTCAGACTTAGCTACTGGGAAGTAGCCTGGGGGTTTCAGTGCCTGAGAGGTAAAGGCAAAGTGTGGTGTGCTTTAGCAAGTGTGTTGGAGATTTCTGTGCACCAAAATGTGCCAGCATCCTAATACAAACCTTGGTGGAAGAAAATGCTGCCTGATAACCTTTGATGGCAAAGCAATTTGTTCCACTACTTCAGCTTTTCAAAAAGAGCCTTTGCTGCATCTTGCTCTTGAACCTTTTAACCTTCAAAAGGTGTCAGATGAGGTTGTTACCACGGGTCAGTTCATCAGTCAGTGAGTGACCTGAACTGGAGAACAACAGACATTGGAGTACTTGATTCGTAGTGTGCAGTTGAGTAATTCTCCGTTCATCTGTTTAGTGGAATGGGAAAGGAATCTTTAATTGCCATTTCTTTGTGAAAAGTTAGGATTTTTTTTCCACTTTGGTACAGTGGATAAAATTAGTGGTTAGCTCTTGGGGATTGTAAGCACATTGCTACTTGATTTGTGGCATTGCAGAACTTTTATCGTGTGTAAATCAAGGCTCGTTTGTCAGGCACAGCTTAAGGAGAGATTTATTTTGTATTACGTGATGGCAGAGTGGCCAAGGAATAAATCCCTGTGTTTTCTTTTCTTCTTTTTGTAAGATATAACAGTTACAAATGGAACAACAGAACTGCTTCACACTGAGCACATCTGGTATCCCAGAATACGAGAGGTAATGTAGGAGTAGCCTTTAGCTGTTGATCTGTCCAATTCCAGTTAAGTTCTCACCTAACCATCTGCGTGTTCTCATCTTTAAGTCGGTGATTTCTTCTTTCACTGTGATTTTCATTTGAATATATCCCTTTACCCATTTCCTGAAAGCCTTCATCTTTTCAACTTGTTCATTGCTGGACAGCAAATACAAGGAGCTAGTTACCACATTCCAAAAGATGCTCAGACAAATGCACAAGGGAGATGAATTCTCTTCTTGTAACACTTTGCAGTTTGTGCTCACTGGCAGCGGTTCAGCTGCTACCAGACCACTTGCCTGCTGTCACTGCTCAGTAGGCTGTCCCATGGAAGGTAAATATGCAGCTAGCAAATCTGGTTCATCCCTAAGTGTCTTAAGTTGGAGACTATTCTGATAAGATGCTGCTTCTCCCAAGAGACTTGCTGAAATAGGTCCAACTCCTTCTCCACTCGCAGCACTGCAGTCTGAACTTCGTCATGCTCTGCAGAGCCCAGGATGAGGCTTGTGCCCAGGCATCACACTAGAGTGGTAGATAGAGTAGTCCAAATTAAGGCGTGTGTCATGGAATTTATCTCCCATCCCGTTGCTTTGGGCTGCAAACCTTTTTCTTAATTAAAAACAACCCCTCTCTCTTCCCCATGTTCAAACCATAGCTACATCCTGCCAAGAGCCCTGCAGCCAAGAGGGCTGACAGTCTCCTGAGACCACAACGCTGCTCTATCCCAGCTTCTAAGGAGCACTTGTGAACAATGCAGCATACACTCTGCCCCTAGGAGCTAGGAGCATCACCTCCGTGGCGCCAGCAACCCTTGCCGGTTCGATCTGAGAGCTTAAAGGTTAGCCTGGAACCCAGGTCTCCTGTCTGACAGTGTGATGTGCTATCCACACAACTACCAGACTGGCCCACTAGTCTGTTGTGTAATAGTTCTGTGGAGAAAACCATAAGTGTTATGCTAAAGCAATAAGTCACTTAAACATAATGAGCTGTTTTATGACGAAAAGAATTGGCTGAGTTCTTCTGTGTCACTGAATTCTTTTAACTGCAGTTTGTAATCCAGAGCAGAAAAAAAGAGATGCTTGGAGGGTTTGCTTGTAAGATGTGACTGAACTGTCTCTTTCCCATTCTTGTGTGTTCAGATCCAAGGTGCTATTATCATGTCCTCCTTGATAGAAGTGGTGATCGGTTTGCTCGGCCTTCCCGGTGCGCTGTTGCGATACATTGGGCCTCTGACCATCACACCCACCGTGGCTCTCATCGGCCTCTCTGGTTTCCAAGCTGCTGGAGAAAGAGCAGGCAAACACTGGGGTATCGCTATGTTGTAAGTACTCCTGGGGGTTCTTGGCTTAGGCCAGGGGGTCCCAGTTGGTAAGTTGTCATGCAGGAATTGTGGAGTGCCAGGGAACAGCTCAGCTGCCCAACGTAGTGTTGCAGCGATCCCAGCATGGAGAAATACTGCGTGGAGGAATCCATGTGGGTCTGAATAGAGTCAGCTGGCAAATAGGGAATAAGGACAGCAGCAACTTGAGGAGGCAGGAAGGGAAAGTAGCTGAAAGTGAGGTGTGAGACAGGGAGTTTTATAAAGCAATAGTTCTGGGAGCCCTTGGCTGGGTCTGATCCAGTGCTAGAGAAAAGACCATTCAGCGAAACACCAGAGACATTAGTGAACAATTTGTATTTCTATTTTTATGCTGCTATTGTGAATGTTTCTTGTTCAGAAGCAGCCAGCAAATACCATCAGTAGTAATGGCCCATTTGTCCTTATTCTGGTTTGCTTATCTATAGCCAAGAGGAGTGTGCATGATGACAGAGCATGTGTGTTTCTATGATTGCCATCAGTCCACGAGGCCTAAAAAGACAGATTTCTCTTTAGTAGACAAAAGGGCTTTCAGAGTGAATTTAGGGCATGATGCACGTGCTTCTGTAGGTATAGGTGTCAGGGAGATTAAAGAATTAACATTAGTGGTATGAAAGGGAATAGATGAGAAGAATGAGATGAAGAGAAGACAAAAGCTTCCCGTGAGGTGCTATTTGAGCCAAACAAGGAGGGAAACCACATTCTAGGGAGAAGGAAGTGGGCTGAAGCAGTTGCTATACTCAATGTATAGTGACCAACTTTGTGCTGGCTCTGGAAGCAGAAGGAATGACTTGATGAGATCAGGTTCTGGTCTGACTGATCGGTATGCACAGTGCTTTGAACATGTGAAATATGCTGTAAGTGCAGCCTATGATTGAAAGGGCTGTTTAATTCTCTTTTCTCTTGGATGTTAGCATCATGAATATTTTTGTAACTCTATTCTGTTAAGCAGCTGACCCAAAGGAACATTTTCTTTTCCTGTCAAACAAATTCACTGCAAGTTGGGCCTAATGTTAAATCAATCAACCAGACCTTTGGTGAATGAGACATGGAAATGTGTAATTAAAGTTGACATTTTTCAGATGGAAAAAAATACATCACTTTAGGAACAGGATTGAAATTTACCCAGTCAATAAGTGATTCTGGCTTTGGTCACACACAAATGTACACTAGATGGTTCAAAATAACTCCATAGCCATCTAGAGCCACTCAAAAGTAACTTGATTTCTACAAGATGTGGCACTTGAAATTGTCTTGACTGTTCTGCTGAGATGAAAATGCTGTGTTGCTGTCTAGTGTAGCAGAATAATCCCTGTGGCAGAGCTGCTCTCCTCTATTAGCTGCAGATGCTATTTGACATGACTCTCAGTTTCCCAAACAGTTTTCTGGCCTTGCTTGTTCTTGCAGGTGCCAAGCTGAAATAGTTTCATCCCTAAACCACATCACATTGTGATGTGTGAAGAGGGAAGTTCTTCCTGAATCGGGCTTTGCCTGGATCTCTGCTTAACAAAACTGTTTGCTTGGGGATTTAGGATTTGATAATGTTTCACAGAACCTTCCTGGTGTGTAGCCAGAATAACAGGATTGAAAAGATTTCAATTTATTGTTTAAATTACTATGTTTTCCAGCTCTGCTTGAGCAACCTGGTCCAGTGGAAGGTGTCCCTGCCTGTGGTAGGGGATTGGAACTGCTTTAAGGTCCCTTCAACCCAAACCATTCTCTGATTCCATGATAAAATAATATCATATTCTTACACTCCTTACACCTGTGTACTAAATCAATCAAAATACAACCCAGCAGTCCTCAGGGCTGCTGTCAGGGAGTGGAGCCCATCTTTCCATTATGGACTTTGGGAGAGATGCCAGAATGTTCCCTGAACGCAAGGAAAAGGTGCCTTTATCACTTGACTTGAGTTAGGGATATAAATGCCACCCTTCTTCTGCTGAGCTCTTTGTTCCTGGAGCTTGAGGGAGAATAAAGCTGGGTTTGTTTCTTACAGTCTGAAACTGATCTCGGACAGAAAAGGGAGGTTTAACATCCCCCTCCTTCTTTTTTTGTGTAAGTCAGCTGATAAAAACATAATCTCAGATTTCAGAGCAGCTTTGCTGCTTCAGACAGTTTGACTCTTTGTGTGGCCTTTTTATAGCAGAACTGGTTTTTGGCTGTTTCAGAATTGAGCAAACTGCCCTGGGCTTGTAGTTTTCATTGCAGTGGATACTTATTTTAGCTGTTGAGTTGAATTAATTGTTAACACATAGAGGAGGTTAGTTTGATGGGGGGTGGGGTGGGGTGTGTGGAATGCATAATGCTTGAGGCTTCTAAAAGCTGTGATAAATTGGCTTACTGAACTGCAGTTGAATGGAATCTTGGGGTTTGGGGCTCTGTTCTGCTTAATTTACAGCTGTTCAGTGAAAGATGTGTATACAAAATAAGAAATGGGGATTATTAAGAATTGAAGAGAATTGCCCTTGACAGGAGGTTTTCCAAGTGCTTTGGAGTTTTATGCAACTGTTGGAAGTGTAGAAATTATTGCATACTGGCCTCTAGTTTTCCACTTTCTTCCCTATTGGAGCAGGACCCTTTGGGCTTCATATGAGGAGCAAACCTGGACAGTTTGAGTCAAAAGAAGCCAGCAGCACAGCATAGTTTTTTGCTCTGAAGATCTTTACTTGCTTCATTTCCCTGCTCCCATTTCCCTGTTTGCTGCTGGCTAGTTTTGCAGCACTTTAGAACACAAATTACATTGGTTTGGCTTGCGTGGAAGAATAATCTATTTAAAATACATTGTCTTAGGATGCTTTGTGCTGAATTTCAGGTGTCTGAAGAGCCTGAACAGGTTTGTGCTGAGAAGGATTTTGAATGTGTCAGTGCTAATGATGTGTCTCTCTTGTCTCACCCTCCTCCTCCTTTTTTCTCAGGACTATTTTCCTCGTGTTGTTGTTTTCTCAATATGCCAGAAATGTCAAGTTCCCTTTACCCATTTACAAATCCAAGAAAGGATGGACAGCATACAGGCTGCAGCTCTTCAAGATGTTCCCTGTAAGTAGTTGGACTTGTTCTTCAGATGGCAAAAGAAACTAATTTGTGTTGGGGTGGGGTTTTGATTTTCCTTTTAGTAATACAGTAGATCATAAAGGGGAGATAAAAGCTTAAATGGACTTAGGAGAAAGTTAACAGGATGGTTCATGTATATCTGTATGTTTAATATATTTATTTATATAAATGTCTCATTAACATCGATGCCCCAGCCCTGGCAGTGTTCAAGGCCAGGTTGGACACAGGGGCTTGGAGCAACCTGCTCTAGTGGAAGGTGTCCCTGCCCGTGGCAGGGGGTTGGAACTGGATGAGCATTAAGATCCCAACCCAAAATACTTTGTGATTCTGTGGTTTGCCACAGGAAATAGTCTCTTGATGGAGCCTTGCAGATCCCGTCTGGTGTCTGACCCTGGTGAAGAGTCATTGGAGTGATGAAGAACATGGAGGGGAGGGAAGGGGGTAGAGAAGAAAGTATGTTTATGCATGCAGTGAAAGCCTAAACCGAGCCCTCCAAAAAGGGATGGTGAGATCATTATCTTCTAGTTTTATGAAAGCAATACATGGTTCCCCCATGTGAAAGGCTTCTTTTTATTTCTCTGGTAAAATTGAGCCTAATTCACTGGTTTGTTTAAGTGCCCATTTGGAGACTTTCCCATTTGTTAGGGAAGAGAGGAGGCTTGCTCTAATTCTAAAGCTTTTGTAACAGCACCTTTGTTAGGGACCAGGGGGAACCACCTCATGGATCTCTTACAGGATTTACTGCTTGTTCAGACTTAACTATCACTTAAGAGCATGTGTGTAATAGATATTCTCTGCAGGAGCTGTTTGCTGTTGATGAATATTGCCAATGATAGTAAACAGCCTTTTTTTTCCTTCTCTTTCACAGATTATTTTAGCTATTTTGGTGTCGTGGTTGCTTTGCTTCATCTTCACTGTGACAGACGTCTTTCCCCCTGACAGCTCCAAGTACGGCTTCTATGCTCGCACAGACGCACGACGGGGAGTGCTGTTGGTAGCTCCGTGGTTCAAGGTTCCTTATCCTTGTAAGTATGTCTGGGATTCGGAGCTGGCTTGCTAATAATATGCCCGTGGGAATCATTACTGTTGTTTTCAGAAGCGTTGCTCTTTTCCTCTCAGTTCCATGTTCTGATGCACTTCAACGTGCACTAATCTGAAGGCATCGTTGGTGGGGATACGATGTTCTTTTTTATGTTTTCCTCTTTAATCTGATAATTTAAGGTCTTGCCCAAGAAAAGCTGAGTTTCTGAATGTGTAGAAGGCACTTGCAGGGTTTATCTAGGTCACTCTTGACTTCTAATAACACAGAGTGACTGTACATGCAACAAGGAGGGTGGTGACTCTCCCCCTCTACACCACTCTGGGGAGACCCCCCCTGCAGCCCTGATCCAGCTCTGGGGCAGCAGCACAAGAGGGACATGGAGCTGTTGGAGCAAGTCCAGAGGAGGTCATGGAGCTGCTGTGAGGGCTGGAGCAGCTCTGCTCTGGAGCCAGACTGAGAGAGCTGGGCTGGGGCAGCTGGAGAAGAGAAGGCTCCTGAAGGGGACACCTCAGAGCAGCTCCAGTGCCTAAAGGGGCTCCAGGAAACCTGGAGAGGGGCTTTGGACAAGGGCCTGTAGGGACAGGCCAAGGGGAATGGCTTGAACCTGCCAGAGGGGAGATGAGATGAGATCTCAGGCA